ACAAGTTCAACCATGCTGTGTCTCATGCACAGAGCCCGGTATTTTTGTTAAAACACCCAAAATGATCTTCTAACATTATTTTCTAACATTTTAACTTTTTTTTCCATACTGTGACTTTTAAACTGCCAGATGAGATGAACAATCTACTTTACTTTTCTTGAAGACTAGGCTAGCTCTCCCACCACAGCATGTGGAATAGTTCACACTTCTCCCTTCGTCGGGGGACTTCCTACTGCAAGCACCCGAGTGTACAATTCCATCTGCTTGGGCTATCTACTCTTTGACAATACCATATGTGTCCAAATACTATGACTTCACAGTGAGTTGGGGTCAAGAGGGGCCAATTTTTCTTTTACTTTAAAGAAAAAAACCACAGTCTTGGTCACCAGTGGTAATTATTTTTATTATAAATTTGAGGTGAAATACTTGAGCCTCCCAAAGTTCTATTTGGAATTTGGACAGATTACGCTAAACTTGTGGGTTGCATTGGGGAGTAATTAATCCTTAAAGCAATTATGTCATCCGTGGGAGAGAGATCTCATCTTTATGGTTAGAAGTCCTGTTCAGTCTTAATTTAAAAGAAAATGCCTCAAAGCCAGGGCTTGGTAGCACACACTTTTAATCCCAACACTCGAGAGGCAGAGACAAGTGGATCTCTGTGAGTTCAAGGTCAGCCTGGTCTACACAGTGAGTTTCAAGTCAGCCAAGGCTACATATTGAAATCCTGTCCTCCATCACCACCACCAAAAAGTAAATAAGAAATAAAAATAAATGATGCTTCATAGCTGTGAAGAGTATTTGCTACTGTTCATGCAGAGAAATACTATTTATTATTATAAATTATGTTTTGTATGATTTAACTATTACTAATTACAATTGTCTGTTTTGTTTGTTTGTTTGTTTGTTTTGGTTTTTCGAGACAGGGTTTCTCTGTATTGTTTTGGAGGCTGTCCTGGCACTCACTCTGTAGACCACGCTGGCCTCGAACTCACAGAGATCCGCCTGCCTCTGCCTCCCAAGGGCTAGGATTTAAGGCATGCGCCACCAACGCCCGGCTTCAATTGTCTATTTTTTAAATATTGTAAATCATGACTGCTCTAATGTATAACAATTTTATCTTTATTTCTAATTCTTGTACTTTGTTTCCCTTCCCTCTTATTAGTGACACATTTGGACACTAGCAATAGTAGAGTAGAAATTAAAGGTTCTTCATCAGATGATATTAGGTCTGGGGTTTGAGGATACAAACTTCACCAAATTAAGGAAAATCCAGCTGGTTGTGAGTCATGCCTTTCATCCCAGCATTTGGGAAACAGAGGCAAATAGGATCTCTGTGTTTAAGGCCAACCTGGTCTTCTTAGCAAGTTCTAGGCCAGCCAGGGCTACATAGTGAGACCTTGTCTCAAAAGAATAAAAATTTAAGGAAAATCAATCTTGTCTTTCTGCATCCAGATAATTATGTGACCAACTCCTTAGTAGATTTTCTAACATTAACGCTATTTGCATCTGGAATTGAATTCTGCTTGACAGTGCTTTATTACTACATAGTTGATGCTATGTTGGCTAATATTTCATTTAAAATTTTTAAATCTGTGTCAATAAAGAAAATAGATCTACAACTTTCTCATTTTAGAACAAAGATGACCCAAACCTCATAAAACAAGCCACGTAACTTTCTTTTTATTTGTGGGCTTGTTTTTCTAGTCTCTGGCACATTTTACACAAAATAGCATGTAAGTCTTCTATGAGGATTTTTTAATCCTAATTTTATTGCATTTGGCCAGAAAACAGAATTGGGTTGCTGAGTCCATGGAACTTTCCAAAGTTTGTTTTCAATTCCCAAAGACCTTGCGACAGGTATAGTTGATGGATTAGAAATAGAGCACACGGCTCTGCCCCACCTGCTGGGTCAGAACCTGCCTCTCCACAACAACTCTCTATGGACTCTGCACAAGTGCATCAGTGTCAGAATTCTAGAGCCCCTGTCTGGAGCCCCAGTGGGCTCCAGGAATCCCTGCACTAGTCTTAACTTCCAATGAATGTTCCGTCTGTTAGTCACGGTGTAGATACACAGGTATCCATTCCATTATTCATCTCTAAAGGCACAAAAGTGTTTGATATGTGCACATGAATGTGGTTTTACAGCAGAATGTATTCGAAGAAATTAAACTAATGCAAATAACTCAATGGCAGTCATGAGGTAAATTTTTATATAATTGTTTACATGTATATATTTACTTATCTTTATTGGGGGGAGGAGAGCACTTGTGTGTGGGTGGCGGTGTATTCATGGAGGTCAGAGAAATAAACCTGTGGGAGCCAGTCAATCCTCTCCTCCATTGGCAGGGTCTGAGGACCAAACTCAGGCCCATCAGGCTTAGCAACAAGGGCTATGGAGTCACCTCACCAGCCTCAGGTGAGCTCCTTGATATGGGTAGCTGACACAGGAGTGGGGGGCTTTGTAATGGCTGTCCCCAGTGCCTTGTAAGTAGTAGGCTTCCTTACACTGATGAGTTTCGGCACACTTTGAGAAAAGTTAGCATGGCCAGGAACAGCCACTTTGGGAAACATGACACTAGCAAGTTGCGGGAACGAGCCTAGGGGCCGCAGTCTGTCACCACCCAATGTTATTTGTGGAATGCCGGATCTGTAGCATCAAGCAACAATAGCTTAAAATCACTGGTCTCTCCTTTGATTATTTAGCATATGGTGGCAAGAAAACATGCTTGCACAAATCGGGGATCTGCAGGAAAAACTGCAAAAATGGAGAAGTGCTCCTGTACAGATGTAAAAATCACCTAGACTGCTGTGTTCCAGACACAAGCAAGCACAAGCCAAAGGCCTCTGGCAGTCGGACCATGGAGGCAACCTCTACAGTCGAGTATGATATAAACTCATACTTCATCAATGAACTCAGTGCGGCGACAAATTAGATATAAGAGACTACAGAGTGAAGAAAAAAACCTGAGAGATGGCTGGAGAGCTCGATCTTTGGAGTTTATATAGCTCATGACTCCTCAGATGTCACTTTCTCGTGTCCCAAGAGTGATGGACTATGTTGTATGTATAAATCATTGAAACACCCATGCGCCACACTCACGCCCCATGATTGTGTAATTCTATATTTTTTTAAAAACTGTGTAAAGAAAGCCTTCAAATGCTTCCAGTGGTAAAGTCTTTGATGCTCTTGAAGCATCCAGTGATCGCTCCAGACGACTAAACTTCCTGTGGTTCTTATTTGCTGGCAATGTGTCTGCAAACGGAAGCACTTGAGGAAGAATTAATTTCCACACTGGCGTTTCCTTCTGTCCTGCTGTCTTCCTGATGAGAATTTGGAGATAGCTTTTTTGTGTTAGTTTCCCCTCAGATGAAAGCAACATTCAACAACAAAATCAAAATCCTAAACTTTGGCATTTATAACACTATCTGCTAGGATGCCAAAGCTTGCTTCAGGGGCTGGAGAGATGGAACTCAAGTGCTCTTTATCCCTCCAGCCCCTAGCTAAGATATGTCTGGAGTCGTCAGCTCTGTCATATAAGGCAACAGGGGTAGCATGGAAGGGAAGAGAAAAAAAAAAAAACAGAGGAAAGAGCTGTCACTCGGTGTGTCTCTAAACACAAGCGTGCCACACTGAGCAGACACAGGGCCAGCATGAAGAGCAAAGTGCCACCCTTATGTAGCTCTGTGGAATTACTTTGGTTACAGATGAGGGTTCGTGGTGCACACGCACATACTAGGGAACTCAGAGCCTACTGGGATGTCATTGTAAAGCATAATGCCACCAGGGACTACTTGCTTTCAGAGGTGAATTCACTCAAGAAACTTCCTATTGAGCAATGAGGAAACTTGAAAATATTCCAGGGTATTTACTTGTCATCATGGCTGTAGAAGTGTCAGCCTTTTCTTAGAAAAGTAGAGAGGTTTTAGTTCTATGAAGAGAGAAGTAATCCCAGAGGAATGCAAGGGCCAGCTAACAGAAAATGAAGCTCCCTAGATAATGGGGGGGGCCGGGGGACACAAAAAAGCAAAAGCCAGCTCCAAACTCAGGAGGAAAACAAAGGTAAAGGGAACATCACAAAGAGAGATCAAGCTCAGCATCCCAAGGAGGGCAGAAATGGAGGAAGTACTACCTAGAGACACACTTAGGAAACTTCCAAAGAGGCAATGTAACAGAGGTTGGACCTTAGCCAGCTCCCCAGAGCAAGCTATACCAAAGTGGCTGTATGGTGTCAGGCACCGTCAGAGAAGTAAAGAAAGAAATGGCCTTTCATAGCTACTCTCCTGTTGGCAGAATTAGAATCAAAAAAGGGAAACAAGGTGTTAGTGGAAATAAGACATAAAAAGTAAATATGACTAGCCACTAGGTGGCTTGGTGGACAAAGGGACTTTCCTTGCAAACCCGATGACCTGAGTTCAATCCCTGGGACCCACATAAAGATGGAAGGAAAGAACCAATTATACAGAGTTGCCCTCCACCATCTACATGAGCATGACAAGTCACTTTTACACAGATACATATCATGTATACACAAAGTAAGAATAAGTTGTTTAAAAATAAGTTGTTTTAAAGCCCTCCAGAATTTTAGGAATTGCAAGACCTTAACAATCATGGAGAAGGGTGTGTGTTGTTCAAATTCCTTCTGCAGTAATCATCAAGCCGATCCCAGACTCACAATTTGAAGCAATAACCAGACGGTTTACTCCAAATCCAATAGGTCTACTTGGAAGCTCTTCCAGGCTTAACCAACTGTGTCTGTAAGACTACACACCTATCCCATCCCACCTGTGAGTCCAGCATGGCATAGGTTGTCAAGGCTCATCCCAAATCCCTACCTCTCTGGTCTCCTCTGCACTCTCCCACCTTCAGTGGCTGGCCAGGTTCCTTTCTGAAAGTCACTCAGGGACCTGGACCCTTCTCCCATGGGGTTGCATCCAGACTGGGACAGACATCTCACCATACAAAACCCAATCACTCTCCAGTGGAGGAAAGACAAGCAATGTCAACTGCATGGACTTTAATTAAGGAGCTGGACAGCAGGGAGAGCTTCCCTGGAAGTGTGTGCATGGTGTTCACTGGCATTCACGGTATTTTTGGCCAGTGTTTCTCATAAGACCAGTTGGAGTCATCATCTATGCCGGTAAGACTGATCCTCATGTAGGACTGGAGGCAGCACGTCTGATAAGTTCTGCAGTAGAAGTAGGGCTGTTCATCCTTTTTGCAGGAAGACCTACAGAAACCTCTGTTACCCAGGCATTGAAGGACAGGACTTTTGGCTGGCCAAAAAGAAAAAAAAAAGAAAAAAATGATGGTGATTAATTTCTGCTCATCAGTGACATAGATTGGGGGCCTCAGGAGCACAGAAAAGACCTAAAGGGTGACAGCAAGAGCCACAGTCAAGAAAGACAGTCAATGTATTTTCCTCCATTTGTCCCGCTACACGCAGGCCAAGGCTCTGGATGTTAGAGTGAGAAAACAGCCTGATATCAGCACAAAAACAGACAGGTATTTGGATGGAACAGAACAGAGGACCCAGAAGCAAACTCAGACAGCTAGACACAACCAGCTTTGGTAAAGGGGTCACAAACATTTGCTGGGAGGAGAAAGCTTGTTCAGTAGCTGGCAGCCCTGAGGGTGGAGCTGCAGGGGCTGAGTCTACATCTGTGTCTCTCAGTCTGCACAAAAGTTCTTTCTGAGATCAGGAGCCTTGATTGTAGTTGGAAGGTTTTCAATCCATCTAGCCCAGTTGCACTTTACTTCCGTCCACCAGGTCCCTGAAGCCACTTATAAGATAATCACTCAGAGACTTAATATATATTTATAATTGTGTGGCTAATGGCTTAGGCTTATTACTGGCTAGCTCTCTCTCTCATAAATTAACCCATTTCTACTAATCTGTGTATCACCACATGGCTGTGGCTTACTGGTGATGCCCTGGCGTCTTGTCTCCCCAGCAGCTACGTGGCATCTCCTCAACCCTGTCTTCTCTCTCTCTCTCTATCTCACCCACAAACATAAAATAAAGTCAACAAATCTTTTTTTAAAACCTCAGACACCAGATAGCAAAACTGCCAATCAATAGTCCAATGAACTTTTGATAATTGACAGTTATCAAAAGAAGAAACACAAACGGCCAATACTTTTGAAAGTACTTGATATCCACAGTCATCAGCGAAATGTGAGAAAGGGACCACTTATCCACCACAGGTAAGAATGTATCTAGTGCCGGAAGGTGGTGGCGCATGCCTTTAATCCCAGCACTCGGGAGGCAGAGGCAGGCGGATCTCTGTGAGTTCGAGGCCGGGCTGGACCGACAGCCTCCAAAACAATACAGAGAAACCCTGTCTCGTAAAAAAAAAAAAAAAAAAAAAAAAAAAAGAATGTATCTGGTGCATCCACTGTGAAGGTCAGCCCTGGGGACTGGAGAGATGGCTCTGCGGTTAAGAGCGCTGGATGCTCTTCCAGACGTCCCAGGTTCAGTTTCCAGCACCCACAGGGCAGCTCACAATTGTCTGTTACTCAAATTCCAGGGCATCTGACACCCTCACACAGACAAATGTGCACATAAAATGAAAATAAGTAACAAAACTTTTTTTTAAAGGGAGAAAATCAGCCTGGAGTTTTCTCAAACAGCCAAAAATAGATCACTAAAGGACCTATATCTCATGTACCCAAAAGATCATGCAGCACTTCCAGGGTCACCAGGCCACACAGTGCCATTGGAGGGCACAGAGAAGAGAGAATACCTCTCCCAGCTAAGGTGGCGTCAAAGGACAGTCTTTGGAGCTGGAACCTCCAACCACACTGTGGCACTGAGAAGCCACTTCCCCTCCTGCCTCCATGTTAGGGCATAGCTCAGAATCTCCTGCTATACAAAAGACCCAGTTCTCAATTAAAAATCACCAAAACCATGGTAATCATGTGCCAAATAAAAAAAAAAAGATAATCAACCAAACCTGTGGTCCTTCTGCATTCAGAACCTTGACGGTTCATTCCTGCTCCTTCTGAACTGTACCCCACAGAAGCATGTAGCATAGTCTCCTTAACCATTCCTATATTTAGGAGCATTTTTGTTGTCTCCAGTTGTGTGGTTTTGTGTGTGTCTGTGTGTGTGTGTGTCTGTTTATGTATGTGTGGGTGCACATGTGTGTGTATACATATGGAGGCCAGATGTCAAACTTGGGTGTTGTCCTCAGAAACTGTCTTCTTGTTTTTTGAGACAGGGTCTCTCAGTGGAACCTGACCTGGGTGATTTAGGCTGGAATGCTTAGCAAGAACCCAGGGATCCTCCTATCTCTGCCCTCCCAACCCTGAGATGACAGACTCAGTCTGGCATGTTCAGCTTTGTGTGGGTCCTGGGAATCTGAACAAGTCCTCAACTTGCACAGCAAGCACTTAATTCACTGAGCCACCTCCCTAACCCACAGATTGTGGTTATTAAAACACTCTGGTTAAAGCCATGAGTCCAGGGGCTGGAGAGATGCTCAGTGGTCAAGAGCACTCGCTGCTCTTGTAGACGACCTGGGTTCAGTTTGCAGTACTCATGTGGTGGCTCACAAACATCCATAACTCCAATTCTAGGGGATCCAATTCTGTTTCTGAACACTGTGGGCACCAGGCATCGCATCACACACACACACACACACACACACACACACACACACACAGAGGCAAAACACTTAGACATGAAATATAAAAATGTAAAAAGTGAGTTCCAGACTCAATAAAAGACTCTGTCTCAAAAAATAATATGGAGGACTGGAGAGATGGCTCAATGGTTTGGAGCACTTGCTGCTCTTGTAGGGGACCCAGGTTAAAACTCCAGTATGTGCCTCACACCCATCTCTAACTTTTCTTCCAGGGCATCTGATGTTGTCTTCTGGCTTCTGAGGAGACTTGTCATGCATTGGTGCACAGACACATAAAGTAACATTTAAAATCTAAAAATAATTTAACAAGAATTTTGGAGACTAATGGTGGAAGACACCTGGCAGGTCAACCTCTGGGAGAGAGCGCACACGCGTGCACATATATGTGCATTCACCATGTGCACACACATACACACACACATACACACACACACACACACAGAATGGCAGTTTGTAAAACAAATCAGATCTTAGTTTGGAGAAAGACAATGAGCCTACAAAGATCAGGTCAAAACCTTGGAAAAGAATATAAATAGAGGTCCTTACACCATATGTCTAAATACTTAAAAGTGATTAATCAAGTCAGCAAGAGAGAAATACATAAGTAAAATACATTCTGGGTTCTTTAATGAAACAACCCTCTGGGATAGCCCAATTGGGATTCATAATTCTTGGACTCCTCAGAGTTCCTGTAGAAACATGGCAGCTGCCCACCCTCAACCCAGCACTCCTCCCTACACCCTCAGATCTGCATACACTAAGGAGTGACTGGTGAGAACATGTGGTCCAAGCTCAGCCATGGTCCCTGAAGACAGAATGCGACTGACACCCTTCCTCCTGCCTAGTGGCACATCCCAGAAGGTTCTGTGAGGGAACAGCCCATGTAACTTCAGGAAGTCGCCTCAAGGAGTCTTTGACAGACAGCACCAGCCCCACTAATCAAAGCACAAGTCTGAAGGCAGGGTGGGTATCACTGGCCCGCATCTCCTCACCCGGTGGGGAGGAGCTTAGAGGGAGGCCAAATGAATGGCAGGATCAGAACAAGGGGTCTCTTTTTCTAGAACATTCTCTTCCTGTATCATAGTGAACTCCTATCTATCTTGATGGCATGTGTCATGCTTCATAAAGTGACCCCCACACACACATCCTGGAGTTCATCAACAGCATAGCTCAGGGGTGAACAACTATGCGATATAAATGAGGTGCATCTGAAGGCAGCCAGTCCCACAGATTCCCTGTGAGGGTTCTTAAATTCCCCATTTCTAGTCTCACCCGTGTTAAATTAGCCATCCAAATGATGTAGAGATTTGTTCCTTGCCAGCCCCTTCCAGAGTCAAAAACCCACATTGCTTACTCTTCAAAGGCAAGATGGCCGCAGACGGCATTTACTGAACCCCTCAGCCTTGTGCTCTGTGCCCATTTAATTCTTATTGTAAGCCTGAGCTACTTAATATTGTTGTTCGGCTTTTCCAAAAAAAAAAACTGAAATGCTGGAGCTCTGACAGGGTTATAAACGGGATCCCTTAGCGGTGAGAGGCAGAGAGAGATGAATGAGTCATCAAACAAATCCCTAAGAGAACGCTAAAAACGGAAAATAAACAAGTCCACCCAGGACTGAATAAACTCCAGGTGCTTTTCATATTTGGAGACTCTCTGGCCCCTGGGGCTATGAGCCCTTGAGCATTTAAAGGTATTTCAGTGAACTCTAAAGATGTAGGTTCCACTTGGCCCGTGTCCACCTTTGAACTGTTCTCTCCCAAGATGAACCAACATTCCAGGCATGTGGGGTTCCTTTAAGTCTGGTTCTGCCCACCCCATGCTCCCTCAGTTTATGTGTGTCTCAATAGCTGTTCGGGGCTGCAGGTGACACCATCTTCAACACTGTTCTTCTCACTCCATTACCAAGGTTCGGTTCCGATGACTTCGCTCTACTGTCTGAACTCCATCCATCTCCCCCGCCCAGGCATTGTGACTGACAGACACAAAAAACAATTCTGTGAGCTTTCGTGTGGTGGAGAGACTAAAGGACAAGAAACAATGTCCTTTCTACCAATAGCAGGACCTTTTCTTCTTTTTATGGATTTTGTGGACGTCGTGGGAGTGGTCTAGTCAAGGACTCCATCGACGGCCACAGTAGGGACACAACAGCATTTGCAATCTTGGAAGCGTATGACACAACCTTGCACACCATCAGGCACTGTCCGTCCTCACCATGCATCTTTGGGGCACAGGAACAATTGTTAGGTGTTTGTATTGCCCAAAGGACCGACAAGAAGCAGCAGAGGACAAGGTGCAGGAGAGAAACAAAATTACACAATTGGGTGAGCAGTGCTTTCCCAGGTCCCAGGCCATGCGAAGAAGGGCATAGAGGAAGTGCTCTGGGAAAGTTTTCAGGAAAATTCTTTTTTATTTTTGAGACAGGGTCTCAGCTCCTGATCTGAAACTATGCAGAGCAGGCTGGCCTCAAACTCATGGAGATTCACCTTCCTCTGCCTCCAGCGCTGTGATTAAAGGTGTGTGCCACCACATCCTGCCAAGGGAAATTTATTTCAAAGTTTCTCCCCATCTATCATCTGCCCCCCAACTTCCTAGTCCTTCTTAAAGAACCAGTGTGCATGAATGAGGGTCCTACCTAGTGGAGCCTGTGGATGACAGAAAAGGGACAATGTCATCTTTGTGTTCATGTACAGAGGAGACTCAGCCATATCACAACAGAGCCAGCTCCTTTACAGCTGGTGACAGAAGTCAGCAAGCTCAGTTCTGGCCACAGCCCAGTGCCCAGTCCCCTTGATTCCATACTCATCTAGTTAAAACTCAAGACCTAGTCAACCTCCTGCCTGCCCAGCTCAATGCTCCCTGAGGCCTCGCTCCAAGCCAAACCCAAATCTAATCAAGTCACCAGCCCAAAGTCCAGTCACCCCCAAACTGAATCCAAGCATTCTGCATACCAGGTACTTACCCCATCCTCAGCCCAAGTTCAGCCTAACACCAGCAGCAGCTCTACGCAAGCCAAATCTGCCCTCTCCATCTTGCACCAGGCCACCGGGAAATCCAGGCCCTCACCTCCAGTTCATGCTGATGCTCTCTCTGTCACCCTAGCCCCCGGGTGGTCCCATATCAGGAATCACCCATAACCAAGTCCCCAACCTGAACCCAATCCTTCATCCCGTATCCATCTTCTAAGTTCCCAGCAGAACTCCACTCTTGCCCCCAAAGTACTAGACCCCTAAAATATCTCTCACGCAGCCATTTAGCAAAACAGATTTTGAGAGAGCAGCATGCATGACAGGATCTCGGGGTACCCTTTGAAGCTGCATGAAATGGGAAAAAGACTTGGGCGTCATCCCTGTGAGAGTGAAGGAAAGGAAAGAAACCCAGAGACAGGACCCCCAGGATCCTAAAAATACCCATACCTGACATCACCAGTCCCGTTGCCACGAATGTGACAAGAAGCAGGAGAAACAGCTTCATGGTGGCGGTACCGGGATGAAGGTGGCAACTGACCCACGGGACAGGAGCAGCATTCCCTGAGGCAGGGACGAACCTCCTTTTATCAGCAGGGCTGTGGGCGGTGACTGAGGACAGAAGGGCTTTGTACAAGGTCAGCCAGACTGAAGGGCAGTGTGTAGCAGATGTCTCAGCCTAAAAGGAGAGTGTGGGAAAGTCGCTGGCACCTATGCCAGACACAACTTCTCTCCTAGGAAGGACGACAGTGAAGTAAAGTTGTTCGAAATTTTAAGAGCAACCCATAATTAGTTCATTAACTAAGATATGAACACATGTCAAGAGACATTTAAGTTTTAAGAGTTAGTTCAACTTAGTCGGGCGGTGGTGGCGCACGCCTTTGATCCCAGCACTCGGGAGGCAGAGGCAGGCGGATCTCTGTGAGTTCGAGGCCGGGCTGGACCAACAGCCTCCAAAACAATACAGAGAAACCCTGTCTCGTAAAACCAAAAAAAAAAAAAAAAAAGAGAGAGAGAGAGAGAGAGAGAGTTAGTTCATCTTATTGTTCTTCAATTTTTTTTCACACGTAGAAGATGTGTGTCTCGTGAAATCTTGAACCTTCTGGTATGTTTCAGATCAAGGCCTGCGTCTCCCTCTTCAGGCCTCCAAGCTTCCTCTAATGGTGGCTGTCACTGCCCATCATCTCAGGTGTCTCTCACAGGTGCTGGGCCTTCCAGCTGCGGTTACTCTGAACCACAGCAGGGTCTCTTCTGACCTTCGTCATTTCATGTGGGGTTTTCATATTTATTGTACATGTTTCATCTTTGCTTCTCTCACTGAGATGCCAGGAACTGTGCCCTTCAGAGGACTGTGGGCTACAGATTTCTCAGTATGGGGAGATGGCAGAGCCTTTAACAGGTAGGACCTCCTAGAGATGGGCAGATGGCTCAGTGGGTGACGTATTTGTTGTGTAAACATGAAGGCTTGAGTTCAGAACTCCAGCACTCATTAAAAAGTCAGGCTCAGTAGCACACATCTGTAATCCAAGAGCTGGGGAAGCCATGACATGGTGAGTCTAGGTCTCTCTGGCCAGCCAGTCCAGGCAAGTCAGTGCACTCCAGGTTCAGTAAGACACTCAGAAAGTAAGATGGAGCAATTGGGAAAGACACCTGAAATTGACCTACACACACACACACACACACACACACACACACACACACACACACACACACACACACACCAAAGCAGGGCTTAGTGCAAGGTAATTAGGCCACAGGATTTCACAGCTAGATGTGAGGGTTTCTGCTTAGATCCCAAGAAAGTCGGTTGTAGTAGCAAGAATGAGCTTGACCTCGGTCATCTCTAGATCCCTGCTTTGCCATGTGATCGTAACCACTGGGGTGCCACCCACCACGAGGCCCTGCTGGGACAGAAATGACTGCCTAATCAAGGAGTTTCTGCCTCCCAAATGGTGGCTTCAAGGAGTTTCTGCCTCCCAAATGGTGGCTTCAAGGAGTTTCTGCCTCCCAAATGGTGGTTTCAAGGAGTTTCTGCCTCCCAAATGGTGGCTTCAAGGAGTTTCTGCCTCCCAAATGGTGGTTTCAAGGAGTTTCTGCCTCCAAAATGGTGGTTTCAAGGAGTTTCTGCCTCCCAAATGGTGGTTTCAATGAATTTATTTTCCAGCCTATAATAGAAACAGAAAGCAAACTATTACGGTTTATAGCCCTACCACAGGATTTCATCTGACATATTAAGATATTAATTCAGCTGTTTTAATAAGTGTTGCTCCCAAACAATGATTCCAGAACACAGACATTAATTTTCCCCGTTTCTGTGTGTGGTTAAGTGCAGCGTTTCACAGCCAGCGGGGAGCTTGGGTCCTTCTGCGTCTCCTCGCACAATCTCACCTGCTGATCCAGGAGCAGCTCCACTGCCTACCATCATGGAGTTGGGGTGGGAGTGGGGCGAATGTGATGCTGTTTCTTTAAAGGAAACCTTCAGAAGTGGCGCACATTGCTGCCAGAACCCATTCCCACCAAAGCCAGCTCCAGAATACACTAAGAATATGTTCCTTTGTTCTGGGCTATGATGGCTTGGTAAAAGTCAGAGTATGGCTCATTAAAAGCACCAGCACTGAGGAGAACTAGAGATATTTAGGACCTGGCTTTATAAGCAGAATAATATTTAATAAACACTAGCAGCCTTAGTAAATAGTAGCATTACTCCACTGAGTAAATGGTTACAGGAAATCAATAGCTTGCATTGGGTGATGCTGTGAGAGCAATTGCATGTGGAGGCAGTCAGAGCCCTTCCAAGGGCCAAGCAGTTTACTAGATTTGGAGCTTGCAATGTCTGCCTCCTGGTTTGCTGTGTTCTTTTCACTTTTAAATTACATTGTGTGTGTGTGTGTGTGTGTGTGTGTGTGTGTGTGTGTACAAACTTATGCTTATGTGTGTGTGCTCAAATTGTACATATTTAGGTCTATCCTGTATGTTGCACATGTATTGGATATGGGTGTGTGTGTTTATGCTGCCAAGCGATTTGTGTGAAGACACAGTCAGTGGCATTTGCAAACACAGCTCTGTTCTCAAATCTTTAAATACATTGTCTACTACCTCAGCTCCCCCCCCCCATGCCCTGTGGCACTGGAACATGACAGTGGCTTGGGAATTCTCCCACTGGGCTGAAGATGTGGGGCAAAGCTAGGAGTGGCTGGAGACAGGAGCTGGGACAATAAGGGAGGATGTGAGCTTTGGCCAGAGAGCCAACTTGATAGCAGGTTCTGCATGGAGCCTGTGAGAGATAAGATGAGAACAAACTGTAGTGTCTAACTTTAAAGTCTCCCACACAAGAATAGCCTGGCCTGGCCAACTCTGAAGGCCATCCCACCCTTCATCCTCCCAATCTGGGCAACTATGATTCTCACGTGGAGGAGACGAGAGGACACTGGTTATCAAGGTCCCACAAGCGGGCCTGCACAGGACTTCAACATGATTTCATGGACTCCCCTCACTAAAGCTGTCAAGTCAACAACAATGTCAAAGAAATGAGAATCCCCCAACAATCAAAGCCTTTGACAAAGACCCTTCCCCTCTGTGCTGTCACACTCCATCAGACTGAGGTCCTGTGGTGCCTGTGGCCCAGGGGGGCAGCACCGATGGTCAAGGTTTCAGAAAGCATGGCGAGGGTATCATGGAGAGGCCAGGATCCAAGCCAACCCTCCTCATCAGCACGTCTCCATGAGAGACAAAGATGCAGAGTGAAATATTTCATCTACAAGTGTGTGTGTGTGTGTGAGAGAGAGAGAGAGAGAGAGAGAGAGAGAGAGAGAAAGAGAGACAGAGAGACAGAGAGAGAGTGTGTGTGTGTGTGTGTGTGTGTATGCGTGGCATTAAGGATTGAAACCAGGGTCTGGCACATGCTACACACATATTCTACCAACCAACTACACTTCTACTCCTTTTTTTATATACTTTCTTCAAAATAGTAAGAGAAACACAAAGAGTAACCCATCACCCTCAGATCTTAGGAAATACTATATTGATTTTCTTTACTTTAACCTAGTATAACGTTCATTGACCATTATTATTGGGTTCATGTCACTCTGGTCTCAATTTGATCCTTCCAGGACCTCCTGTGTCTGGGAATGAGGGTCCCAGACCTTCGCCATGATCTTGTGTGGGCAGTCAAGAATGCCTTGAGTGAATGTGTTAAGACAGAATGAAATCCTGAGGGACTACACATTCACTGACATAGGCATGGCCACATTAAGGACCAAGACCTCAGACCTGCAGAAACTTGGAAAGGCAAAGCCTTTCTGTGGTCCAAACACGTGTTCACAAAATTGACCAATGCGTGCAAAGTCTAGCAACTGCAGCTTCCTTCTCCCAGAAGTTTACATACACTCTGCTCACCTACAGAGACCTCCCATCAACCTAGCTAACTCGTCCCCCTGGGCAAATGCAGTAAATGTGCTGAGATTCCTGGTTGACAAGGTAGTCGATGGCACCCCATCCAAGTGCATAAGCCCCACCCGCCCCACTTTTCTGTACATGTCTGCCTGTCTTTCCTCCACTCCCTTGCTGCCACTAGTCAGTTTCCAGAACCAAGCCTGTTGGGATGCAGCAACTTTGGTCTTTTCCTCTTTGCTTCTTGGGATCAGGATATGGCTAAGGCCCTCTGGCTGCTCACTAAGTGCTTCTAAGAGAGTGCAGAATTGTTGTCCCTCTGGCTGCTCACTAAGTGGTTCCAAGAGACTGCAGAATTGCTGCTGCCCATGAAGTCTCACCAAAGCACAGACAGCCCTCTTGCCATAGCACTGACATCCACACATCAAACCTACTTCCTCTTTCATCCCAGTAAGGCCCAGCTGCCATATCTTAATTGGGGTCCTCTAGAAACCAAAGAGAAAGACAAATATACAAGTTTTGTCTTTAAGATGTGGATTTATTATATCGAATTACAAAATATGGTGGAAATAGAGCTGGAGAGATGACTCATTGGTTAAGAGCACTGGCTGCTTTTCCATAGGACCCTGGTTCAATTCCCAGCATCCACATGGCTGCTCACAACTGTCTGTAACTCCAGTTCCAGGGGATCTGACACCCTCACACAGACATGCCTGCAGGAAAAATGCCAATGCTCATAAAATAAATTAATTAATTTTTAAAAATATGGTGGAAAGAATCCAACAGCAGTTGTCCTGCATCTGAGAGGATAAGAAGCCAGTAGTTTGGTCCATGAGGCTGAGGGACCACTAGTGGGTTCCTGGAGCGTCACTTGTCCTCATCCATGTTGGAGGCCTGAAGAAGCTGGCTCCAATGTTAAGCAAAGGAATCAGCAGCAGCAATGGATACATTAATGTGGTGGAGCAAGGGGAGGCCAACAAAGAAAACCAGCAAACAATCTTCCTTCTCCCTGTGTTTTTTTCCAGTCTGGGTTGTTACCTGACCATGGCATCCACATTTGGGGTGGGTCTTCCCACATCAACCATGAGCATTTCCCACAGATGCACCCACAGCCCACGGGCCAGCCTGAAGCAGGGAACACCCACAGCCCCTCATGTCAGCCTGAAGCAGGCAATTCCCCTTTGAGGGTCCTGGT